TAAATATTAAAAATGAAGAAAAAAATATTTTAAAAACACCACTACTCAGTACAAACAATACAAATATAATATTATAATTATTGCAAAATACTGTATATACAGTACAGTACATGTACTGATTAATCTGTAGTTGTATTTAGAAATATTAAGAATTTTTTATTCTACATTATGCACCTTTGGTGCTGATTTTGATTCAAGCAATGGGGGAAAAATTATAAGACCAACAAATTGTGCCAAAGAAATCTCTAGCATACTGTCAAATTCCACAGCAGACCATGAAAATTTACAGGAAATCAGCAAGAAAATCAAATCAATTGTTTTTTGTCTTATCTGAAATTGCCAATTGTTTTTTTTTTTTTGATGTCTCAGAGTTCACAATAACATCTCCTCTACAGCTGGGGGAGGGTGAAGATTAAAAGACAAACCAAACCATCTCCCATTGAGCTGTTCATCTTCTGGGGTGCTGCAAACTCCTAAGTGTGTTACATTGGGAATATCACTGATAGAAAGAGTGACATGTCCCTCACTAGTAATGCAACCCAACCTGGAAATCACAGAAAGCAGTGTCGGTGATGGAGAGCCTTGATTGTCTGGTCGCAAACCGACCCCAGTGGTGCTCAGCCTAACCCACTCTCAGTCCTCTAGTTACCCAATAGATCTGGCAGCCCAGCATGTGATCCTCTGTCACAGCCTGTGGAACAGTCAGTGAGCTTTATAAACAATATTATGTTATCATTGTAAAAATCTGTAAATGTCTTTCAAATTATTAATGCTTTGGTACAGTGACACTGTAATTTATTTGCCATTCAAAACTCTTTGAATTTGAAATTTGAATTAGACAATCAAGGTTTGACCTCACAATATTTGTGACATACAGTATAGAGATTTTTCTGCCCCCTGCTCCCGCCTCTCACTCTTCCTCCCTCCCAACCTTTGTTCTCCCGCTACTTTACCTTTGCCTACTGCCCTGTCTCTCTCACACCTGAAGAAGGCTCCACGGCCGAAACATTGTGTTCTCTTTCTTCTTTTTTTCAGCATGGAATAAACCTATTCCTATTAATGCAATATAATAGCTCAGAGACTATCAGCATTTTAATTTCAAAGCACACACCCATAGTACCAGCTGAACCATTCTCTGAAATAGCAAAATTTTTGGGGGCGGTTTGGCTTACTATTAAGTTTAACATTAAATCTCCTATTGTCAGAAACAAAGAGCCTGGGTCTTTTATAAGTTCTTGATTGCATTCTTAGCTCCTTGCAACATCCTTAGGTCCTGTTCTTAGGGGGCATTAGAAACTCAATTAAGTTAAAAGTGATTTATGAACTGGAGTGCTCTGGTGTGCCTTCTCGTTCCTTATTCCTTTGCCTTTCCTGGGTCAGTTATTCCAGTAATGGGGGCTGTGAGGATCAATACAGCCAAATAGAAATGGGATTCCCATTCCCTGAGCAGTTATTACAACAGCCAAGTAACCGCTGCCTCTGCCTCACCACACCACACTGCGGCTTCCTTTGCAGGAAACTCAAGTAGGGCAAAAACATATCAGCAGAATTAATAGAAACTTTGTTTATGTTTTACCTGGTATACAGTAGAGGAGCATAAACTTAAATCCTAAATGAACATGGTGCACTATTTGGCCAAACCACTTATTCTGTAGTGACCTCTACTGAATGGACACAAACAAGCAATTTAGGTCACATGTCTTCATCTGAGATTCAGCCATAATGAGCATGATTCCTGTATACATAGAATCCTGTCTAATGTGGATGACAGGGGATAATGCATTGATGTACTTTATAGAACAATAAGGAGAGAAGAACAGATCTCTGAAAAAAATTCACACAGCTTGCATCCGATCTAAAATCATCAGTAGAGAAAAACAAGTTCCAGCAGCAAGATAAAACTACAGCCATAACTGGGCTGAACCGGAAAATCTGGCCTTATAGAGAATGTGTCTATTGAAGGCAACATAAAAGTGTGGCAGATGTCTGCTTATTATATTATACCATGGATATATTGTGCCATGCAACAAACTGACAGGTTGTTTGTGATACAAATAGCTGCTAATCCAAGGAACATTCAATCGCATTTTGTGTTATGTGAAACTATAAACACAAAGTTTGCTTTTGGAGGAACAGAAGTTGACCTTTTCTTCTTTTTTATTAATGTTAGCATGTCATAATTATTGATGTTAGATTGCTGCATAGGATCCTCTGTTGGATTGAATACAGGGGTGGTGTTAGTGACGCACCGCATCTGTGCTCTGAGAGACTAATTGAAATGGTTTATACCGTATATTGGAATTTATGTTTGGCCAAGTGACCACACAAGTTTTCAGTGACAAAATGCTCTAATTCTTTAACCAAAAATTAGATATGCACCTCCAAATTATTCATGAGACTGGATTCAAATAATAACCACTGCTGGATTAAAACGAATGGGAACTTGTCAGTACTCAGTGGGATAGCTTAAGTATGTCATAAGCAAATGGGTAAAAATGACTTATAAAATAAGTTGTTCTAATAATTTTTGGACCCCCCTTAGCAACGTCATGGGTGTTATTTGTGTGAAATGGCACTGTGAGAGCTCACAACAAGCAGTATAGTTGAGATGTTATTCATTGCAGCTAACTGAAGTAATCACAGAATCACAACATAATGTCACTCATTATGTTATTAAACAGATCAGCTTCTCTCAGTCTTCCTAGTCCTGACATATATTTTAAGTGTTAAGAGCAATTTTCAGTTGCTTACATTTCTATGTGCTATATTTATTAGTCATTTTGGCAAAAACAGTATGAGTGGTATTCCCAATGCTAATCACATGGAGATATCTGTTGTGTTTGATGCATAGCTTTTGGGCTGATTTGTCATTCCTTTTGAGAGTTCTGAATAGCTCAATTGAACATCTCCATTATCAAAATAACTCAAACTCAAACATTAACTGCCAGTATTAGAGTATTTATAATTCTGACAGCATTGTTGCTACTTGGCCAACACATTTCAGTAACATTGCCAACTACCAAAAAAAACAAAATTGGATTTGGCTCCTTTATTTTTAGTTCCCAGATAAATAGATTCAAATGTGTCTGTCAATAAGTTTACAGGCTGTAATCTGTGAAAATGTCAACAATGTCCACAATCTTTGAGTGGATTTATGTTTTGTGGTTTTATTGTGACAGCCAGAACCAAATAGTAGTCAGTTCTCAGATTTATCAGCATTATTTAAGTAAGCTTGTGATGAAGTAGAGTCACCTAACAGAAGTTCCCACTTGATTTAAAAAAAAAAAACGAATTGGAGAGCTACAGTATCACAAGAAACACTCTTGTAATGTTTATTGAAAACAAGCAACATCTCTTTCTTTTATTGGCAATATCACAAAATCCTCTATTGAGGGGTTCTTCTCTTACATAGTTAAAAAATAAATTAGTGACTTTACATACATAAACACCAGTTTGAGAATATAAAGTTTCATCATTCACTGTAGCAATAATCAACACAAGTCAGTCTTAATTTAGTAGAATAAATCTCACTCTTTCTTCTTAATGCTTTCAATCCTCTTGAGAATTTCACTGCGATTGTCTGCAGTCTTAACCAGAGGAGATTAAGAACAGCCTCCACAATCCTAAAAGATGGATTATTTTATACTTAGCAGAGAAACAAAAACAAAATACAGGACAAATACAGAGGTAGCAATGAAGTGCATTTAGAACTGAGAACAGGAGACACTTTTTTACAGAAAGAGAAGTGAGTGTCTGGAACAACCTGATAAAGTTGTGCACCGTGGAGGCATGGTGGTTAGTGTCACAATCATAATCCCTTCTCTTAAGGGTGCTCCGGCTCTTTCTTGTTTTGCTAATAATGTGCACCTGCCCCCAATCCTGCCCCTCCTTATTTAGGATGGGCGCTCTTCTTACTCTTGGCTCTGCATCGGAAGGCGGTCGCCCGGAGGCCCGCCTACCATCAAGTCGCCTTCTTCTGCGGCTTGAGGCCACAGGCCTCCTATAGGCGTCCTGACCCTGCTGAGTCCGGGGCTCAGAGCACCCCGTTTTTATTCCCTGTCCCTGTACCGTATCCCATTCTGGTACGGTTGGATCACCCGGATTTGGACTTTTGGACTTCGCCCCGGATTTCCCCACTGGACTCCTTGGACTTGTACGCCCCCTGAGCACCAGCTCACCATCGACACGCCCCCCTGTCTGTCAACCCCTCCTGATCCTTGTCGTCTCCTCCCCGTCGTCCTTTTCCACTTACTTCTGGATTATACTGCCTGCATAGGGTCCAGAAGTATGCTTCACAGTTGCAGTTAGCACTGCTGCTACACCAGGGTCTTGGGTTTGAATCTGGACCCGAGTCCATGTCTGTGTATAGTTTGCATGTTGTTTCCATGAAAAATACAAATTTTCTCAGGGGATCCTGGACTCAACTCTCTCAAACTAACCAAAGCATCCAAGTTAGATCTGAATTGAAAAGCAAATTTCATGCTTTACGTTTGTTCCCAGTACAGCTAGTACTGGCTATGGAAAAATAGGGCAATAAAACCAAGATGAGTGCAATGGCTTGAGTGACCTTCTGTAATCTCTGACCATATCCATAAAAACATCTTATTGGTGCCATCTCCAAGAATGGTTGGAGACCTTCCGATTAATAAATTCTAGTAAGCCAAACAGAATATTGAAAACAATTTTCATTGCTTCCCTCCAGTTTCTTGAGAGGAAAGAAAAAAAAATCTGTCTGGTTTTCCTAGAAACAAAATGCAGTTTTCCTGAGTTCCAAAGGCATTTGGGAAGTTAATGGAGTAGAGGCTCCGGAAACCTGAAAAAATGAATTATGTCCAAGCTGTGTGTAATATTCAAGCATCTGTTACCCATTTTTCTATAAATCTTGTGCTATCTGTTTATTTACCTTTCACTCGCAATCCTGTTCTGGTTTATGAGAGTTTCCTGTAGAGAGAACTCCTGCTGGAGGTTACCATGGTAACCGTGCAACATTGAACCAAAGAGGTTGGAAGGAGTGAAGTGAACGGCGATATACAGAGGGAACAGATGGCTTTCAGTGCACAACAGGTTGGTAACAAACTGGAACCGAAGACAAACCACAAAATGCGCTTTACATTGTTTGAATTGCTGATTCGATTGATCGCTCGCATATGATCTTAGAGTTGTGCAATTTTCTAGGAAGCAGTTGTAGCTTTGAAAATCAACACTTATGTTTCCTTTTGGAATGTTCTTCGTCCCTTTTATGGTAGCACTCCACTGAGCATTTATCTGCCAAGACCTGAAATAACCCAGTGGGCTCCATGTGACCTTTTACACAGCAGCAAGAAGTCTGGCAGGAAGGTACTGTAAAGACATAAAAAACAAAGATATTCTCCTTTGTCAAATTATTTTGTATTTGAGATTTAAATGTATTTATGGTATACACCAAGGAAAGTTTTTTGATTGACAGATTAATGGCATACAGGTACACCTTGGCCATTCAATTCTACTAATATCCAGCTCACTGCTTGGTTTTTAATTTTTCTGTGGACCAATTCTGGTAGACAAGCTTCATGGCCTAATTTATGTAAGTAAGAGCAGCTATTATCAACCAAACACAATCAGAAAGTTTGGCTGGATAGCTTTTGATACCCAACATTAGTGTGAGTTTCTGAGGATATCCCAGCGAACTTATCTTCACCTAGAGTCAGCACAACTCAGCCAGTTTAGTATCGCTGCTGTCAAATATGAAGCACTGCAATTCCCAGGCATAACAGATGAGCGTGCCCTGATAAGTAATTTAGAACTCTGTGCAAGAGGAAAACAGGTTTAGACAACATGTAGAAAGCAAAGCAGTGGGGAATGGCCCCGTTCAGTCACCTAACCAACTGGAGTTATCATATTTCGAGTGACGGTTTCACAGCTTAAAAACCTTGAAGCTAAGCCTTCCAGAGTTGATCATTATTAGATGTCTGGAGACAGAGGGCAGATGCTCTGTTATGAAAACCACAGGAGAGAGAGGTGGAAATAGTTTCAGAAAGACTAGGTTTCGAAAAAGGTTTTCTGTACCTGTTTTACCCAGACATTACTATATTTTAATATATGGGTAAAGGATATTAAAATAGACCAGGCCTTATCCTAAGGTCAATTACTTTGTTTTAAGTATTCCTCAACTTGTAAAAACACTTACTACCAGTGCAGGATTAGCTCTGTGTCACAAACGTTGTGGATTTGAACATTCAAATTTTCATCCCTATCTGACTGCAACAGGCTTTCTCCAAGCTGTGAAGCACAACTGCCTGAGCTGTCCACTAGGAGCAGCAGTAAAAGCTAGTGTCTCCACTTAGCAGTAACTCTCCTGTAGGTACTTTTAGAGCTTGATTGACGAGTTCAGCTCTGCTCTGCCCCTGCCGACATTCAACTGTGGTCACTTGCAGGCTCAGAAGTGGGAAATATTGCTACACCAAAACACTGGTTCATCTCGCTCTGCAGAATTTAACTCTGTCTAGATTTCAATTTCAAAAGCACCTCAACAAAGTAGTGTGTCTGTGTTCTAGCCAAGGTTATTTCATAGTTAACAATCTTTTCACTAAAGCCGGCTGTGAAATGTTGCTTTCTGGCAGCTGCGATTGAAACCCTGGCATTTACTATAACTTGCCATTCAGGAAGCAGTTGATACGGAGCAGTGCTCTACCTGGCTATTAGGAAGTTTCTCTTGACTTGTCAAGTGAGCCCCCCGAGCCTTACAACGCAAAAGGAGCCTACTGCAATTAGGCCAGTCGCTACATTTTGGCTCCCCTGTCATTGCTACTCATCCTTAACTCCTAAGATTATTCTGCTGGAACTTTTTAGTTGAAGCTTGGAAGTACTGAAGCAGATGTACTTTGCCTGGTGAGAATTGCAATTAAACAGCTCATTACAACACACCTGTTAATTGTTAATAACTCTCAGCAACAGAAAAAAAGGAAATTATTTTCATGGTTTGAATCAATCTTCTCCACACCCCATTCAGTTTCTTTAATTTCTAACCCACATAATGTTGTTACTTAACAGAAGTCCAAGGAGGACATCAAATTCTAATATTCCACTTTTGCACCCCTACATACAGTATAAACACACCTTTCCAGCACCCCTCCCTCCACTCCAGCTTCACCTTTTCAGCTGACTCCCTGGTTAATTTCTTCTAAGTTAAGGGTATTGAGACATTGATGGTTTTCAGCCAGTACTGTCAACTGATCAGTCAGATGAGATAACCTGAAAGTTTAAAGTATCCTTTATTTTTGTTGCCTGGTTGTTAAATTATAATTTTACCAAACTCCTGAAACACCTACAGTGGATTCACTATGAATCCTAAACAGGGAAAATCTTGTTGGATGGGTGTCTTTTTCATTAATGTCCTTACACAAGAAAGAGGAGGATGCTGGGACACTGACTGAATTGGGATCCAAACTATACAGAACATCTCAAACATAGGGATACATAGAAACACAAAGATAAAGAAAGATGAAACCGGTGTTTGATGGAGTGAAATCTGAACTCAAAACAAACTATTCTGCAAGAGAAATACTCTTACATAAATCTCAATCTTTGAACATCACCTTTTTGAATGACAAGGAAGTGAACATTTAGAATAAGTTTTGTTTGCCTTTCATTTGCCACCTCTTAGCTGTTTTTGCATGGCCTGCGAGATTTCTTCTGTTTTCTGATTATGCTATTCATCTTCAATTCAATAAAGTAAAAAAGTGGTTCATTAAAAGAAAAGAAGACCATGCTGACTCAGTGAGAAGCCAACAGAAGAGCCAAGCAGCCTTATTGGATGAACACATACAATGTTTTCTATTTTGCAGTTCATTTAAATTGTACTGCAGTCTCTGAGGGACCCTCAAGGAGAACTTTTAATCTGAGTGTGCTTTGTAATGAAAATAAAACAATTTTAGTTTACAGGCTTCAGAGACTGCAGATAAACTCATTTTACATTTGTAATTATCCATAAATGCATGGAAAACACCACTCAATTTCTCCTGTCTTTGTAGTAAGGGTTATTTTGCAGCTTTGTGCTAATATAATAGACAATTGAAAAACCCTTTTGGCTGTAGCAAAATTTCATAAGGAAAAAGGAACATTTCCAATTGAAATAGTTTGTTATTTCATCTGATATTATAGAGCACACTGCATGATTAAAAGTATTTCTGCATACATAAACACACATACTGCATAGTCAGAAAAATACATATTTATTTAATATTTAACAATAAAGTACCTACAGTAAATATTTCATCAGTCCCTCAAGTTGTAGGTCAATTCTGAAAACTTCAATAACTTTTTTTTGCAATAAAGCATCTAATAATCTTTCAGTGGAGTATATTTATATTAATAGTTATTACTATGATTTGTAAGATATTTAGCTACAAAATAGAATTATGTAACTTTCAGTGAGCTACTGTAGTAAATATGCCTTTAGTGACCTCTGAAAAATATAATTGCCTCTAGTGACTTGTGAACAATACATTTGCAACACATTTACACTATATCTGAAAGTGTTGTCAGCCAGAACACAAGATAGGCCAATAATATTATTCACACTAATATCGACAAAAGAACACGAGTTGGTTTTAAAAATGGGGGTTTCTGAAGGTTTGTATCCATATTAAAAACACCTTGCTGAAATATTAAAAAGTATTACAAACTTACAATCATGCTCACTTGTACAGCAACAGTATGTATTTTATAGGAGCAATTTGACTGAAGTACTTTACACAAGGGTACAAAAGCAATGTCTCCCCATAGCCTACCACCTTTATCGATTCATTCTCATTCATTTATAAAAAAAAAAGTCCAAACAAATTCAATGATTAAATATTATAGAAGAGTAACACTTACCATGACTGTTGGGAAAAGCTGAGTGTGAATGTTTTTAATGGGTTTGAACTTTGGGTAAAAAAATCACTGTGTCTGAAGGACTTCTAGAAAACCTGCAATAAAGTCAGCTGTTATTTTTTTTTTGCCATTTTAAAAGCAAAAAAAAACGGTACTTTATCCCTGCCTACACTCTGAAAAGTGAAAACAAGACCCCAGTGGTTTAATTTCTTGCATGAACAATCAGCCCACCTCAATGGAAAAAAGGAACAGTCTGTGTTTTTGCCTCAGATAATGTAATTAAGTGACACCCTAAAGGAATAAACAATTACATTTGCATTCTATAAATTCTCTTGATACATGCTCTGTAACTCAGATATACCGCTATATCCTCCACATATCTTCTCTCTTAACAAGTGGAAAACCTCTGAAAATCCTGTCTTTAATGTATGTTTTACTAATTTGTGCAACTCTAATACAGTTCCCCTAGTAACTCCAATCTAGTCACCTTTAGATTATTATCCTACTTCATCCCATTCAAGTTTTCATTTAGATGGCCAGAAGCATGAACTAAAGAAAGCTTGGTATAGAATATTTCTGACTGCATACAATTCAAACTTGTTCCCTGAAACATAGTTTCAACAGACAAATAACCATAGATGGGTCCATAGAAGATTATTTAAATGAAACTGCAAACTTAAATTTAAAGGTGTATTTAGATTTAATATTAAATATGGGCATGTTAAATGGATATTCTGTAAGGTTTGACAGGAACTTTACTTTTTACTTTGAAACTAAAATAAAAATAATCTAATATATAATCCTTTCCTTGTAGGTGCCCTTAAGATGCCCTATGGATGCGTACAAGGTACAGTACCTTGAGACAGACACCCTGAGAATATTATTTTTCCACTATTTTCCATCTTTCTGCTGGGAATCTTTTTATATACAGTAATGCAGATGCCCAACCTTTCATTTGCTTTAACTGGGCAAGATAAGATGGCAGTGTACGCAAAACCATATCAGCCCCTCTGTGAACAGCAGTATAAATGCTATATCTTGTGAGGGATGGCATTGGAGGCACGTTTCATAAACATACTTCAAAATACATGGCTTACGGAAGTTCAGCTGTTCATCTATTTCACCTTATGGCCTAGATAGGATTTTTAAAGAGGTTTGTGATTGCATCCCTGCTGACTGCTGGTGTGGCTGATGAGAAATATAACTGCACCCGAGCCTGGGAGACAGTATATTTTTAGAGAGGAGATGAAAATATGTGAAGTATACAGTATAGATCACACACCAACATCTAGTATTCTTGGATTATAGGTATAGCTAATGAAAACCCAGAGAATCTGTTCCTTTCAGTACTTGGTAATGAATCTGAAGCAGTAAGAAGAAATCCATTCTTGAGCCTAGAGGTTCATTATGCTGGAGTTTTTACTGTACTGTTTCTTGTAGCATTAAGTGGACTGAAAGTGCATGAGTCTCTCCTCAGTGGGGATGCTACTTCATCTCACCAGTGCTGGTACTTCCACAGCCATGAGGACAGGAGCAATTGAAGTACAACAACTGCTGTGGAAAGTCAAAATCACAAATTTCCAATAAAGAGTCTCAAGCCCTAACCACTGCTCATTTTGACCCCCATTAAGTGCTGACTAGAACAGGACTCCAGACAAAGTATCCCTCATGTCAACATAGTGAGAGCGTTTCTCTGTTCAGAGAGGTTCTCTGTTTCTAATCTTATCCACCATCATGCATTTGTCATCTTTGCCTGCATCAGCCCCTAGCCAGGTGGTGCTACTACAGTACAGTAGATGTTGTGCACATGCCATTTAGTAGACTGTTTTTGTAAGCAACTACCATTAATAATAAGAGATTACTCTTGTGTTTCTTGAGTTTGGAGACCAGATTAAACAATCAAATTCAGTCTCACTCTGACATCTGGATCAAACAGTGCAATCTGTCTGCTCCCCCTCCCCATTAATTACTCTGAGTTTGAATACAGATCCCTCTAAAACGGATCTGCAGTTTTGTTATAGTGTGCTGTGAGTGGTGCCCAAACATTGCTGAATTACAGCAGTGTTAGGAATGTACAGAAAAGTACATACATGAGTACATAAAGTAATGTAAAAACTTTAAGTATAAAGTGTTCAGCGTTGATCCATAGAGTGAAGACGTACAGTAAATGCTGCCTCGATTGTGTTATCGGAACTGAAGAAGCCAGCTGACATTTCTGTGGCACTACTGTTAGAGAGGTATCATGGCATGACAATCCTTTGTGTTGAGTTCACAACAGGGGAGACGGTAAGACAAGTGCAAAGACTCAGCCATACCATATTGTCTCAGTATTGTTTTCTGTATTTCAGGACTGTTTTCAAGTCCTTATATGGAGATGGGATCATAAGTCAGTGGGGCTCCACAGTTATAATGAACCTTTTTCATTAAAGGCTATATTGAACCATTTCAAAACAGAGTGCACAAAATCTAATATAAACCTGCTTCTAGCTTGACTTTAATGGCAGAAAATGATTTTCAAAAGGTCCTTTTGGCCTTCAAAATTGTATCCTGTGATAGCAAAGCTTCGTATTTCTATTACTGACTTTTAATTGATCCTTCGTTTTAACTGAAATATTAAAGCCCACTGCAACAGCTTAGTACAGGTTCATAACTGGAACAGTAAGGCACAAAATCTTTTAAAAGAATGCACAATTGACTGGAATATGTGAAAGTGTTCCAGACTGGTGTTCACTTACTTTATTTATGTTGGTGCTCATCTCAGACGTACTTTATATTCTTTTAAGAGAGATGTTTTTGAAATAATAGTACTTACACTCTGTAATATTATATATGGTATATTATCTGCCCCTCAACTGAAAGAAAAGATGTAATGGGGTTTGAAAATTGTAGTGTTATATTTCCTGGTTTCTATAGCTGTCCTCCCTCTCGGAAAAAAATAATGCTTGAAGTTTGATATTCTTTCTCCAAGAAGCAGTGGGCAAAAAATAATAAATGTTTTGGCTGTATGTATGTTTTTCACCTCTGATATGTGCAATTATTTTGTAACTGTAAGATCCGAACAATAAAGTCTAAATCTCACTGGCTACAAGTACTAAAACCAGCAGCTCTTGTGTAGGACTTGAAAAGAAAAAGTTCAGCTTCTGTACAGCAGGTACAGATATTGAATTCTGCAGGTTTTCTTTATCTCAATTTCTAAACATCTCTTCACCTGGGAGATGTGTCAGACTGACCCAATTAAAGTTTAACTGGGCCAAATGTCTCTTCTTCAATCTTAGGCTGTTGACATTTTAAAGAATCATAGAAAAATTGCCGGGATTCTGGACGATGAGGTCCAGAATGTGGGAAATTTGGGACTTGATGAACCTAGTCAAAACATTTTTCTTCTGTCCAAATTCTGAAAACTAGTACTGTTAATTTTTTGGTTCCCAACTTCAGTATTACCAGGTCACAAATTCATAAACAATATTATTACAATATCAGTCCCTGGAGCCATGTTTGTACTAAGTATTCTAAACAAAACTTTCTTGTTCTGAAAAATGCTATTTAACAGTATGTGTTAACAACGTCTTTTAAATTGAAATAAGACACCTGACAGTTTAAGGAAACATTTATCTTGTTCAGTGTTTAGAACCCCCATTACGTCTTTGATACCTTTTATAACCACCAGTTTAGTAAAGTTTATTTCATTTTTAGGGGAAGCAGCATGGTGGTTAGCACTGTGGCTTCACAGCTTTTGATCCCAGTGATCCCATTCTGACATTCAGTGTCTGCCAGTTCCAGTGCCAGAGCTATTTGTTTCCTTCAGTGTCCTCCCACCTTCCAGAGACATGCATGCCCACTTTGAGAGGTGTCTCTATACAGTATGTTCTAACCCTTGAGTTCTTTGTTCATGAGTGGAGTGACATTGGTGCCTGTCTCCCCTCCAATCCCCTTACCAGTTTGAAAGAGAGACTGGTGTCCTGACGTATAAGTCAGCAAACGACTTATATATCTCCTCTCCAGGAGTCCAGAGCAGGGCCTTCATGTCTGTCAGAGAACAGATTACTCTTACTAATCCAGATATAGATCACTTACTGTATGTACCATGTGACATTGAGTGCATAAGAATTTGTAACACTGCTGTTGGTTGCAGACAACCATTGAATATTACAGCAAGAAACAAGGAACAATGCATTACAATACACATGCAAATGTGTGGATCTGTCCCACTCATTCAATTAATATCCCCATATGAGAACTGTTTTATTATAATACAATTGAAATACAATTGAACCCAGCTATAGACTGAGCAGACATTAACAGGCTAAAAACATTGGTCTTGATACTGGGAATCTTTACAGTCTTCCAGGTGGAAGGTGACTGTATCAGTACTGGTAGATTTAACCATACTGGATGTCTATTTAGTTTAGAGATTTAGAGATTGTAGATACCAGCCAGCGATCATCGATACTAACTGAAAAACTTCCTCATTCCACAATCTCTAAACGGACAGGCACCAGATACAGAGGGCAATGAAGTGCATCGGTGAAAAAACAAATTACTTCTTAAACTCAAGGCAATGCCCATTCTCAACAGTGTCTGGGCAATTCCACACAATATCCTGAACAATCACAGTCACAGTAATTTAATAACTGTGCTTAAACTATGAAGGGACATTTTTCTGTGTCTTTGCAATATATTAGGAACCAGATATCATTTTGAGCTTAGAATCAACTGTGTTTTAGTCTACACAGTTATCTTGCACTATTCCTTCCTTTCTGTCCAGAACATAACACCCTATAGATGAAAACACACATCTTTTACAGAGTGTGTATTCTGCAACTCTGAAACTCTGATTTATTTGCCTGCTCTTAAAACAAGAGGCTTGGGTAAATTCAATTCAGGTTTATTGCAAATCAAAATTGCAGCAGTTTGGCACAGTATCCTATGAAGATGCACATAATGTCACCACGAGTGTCTGAAAAGCAGAAAAAGGAGGGTTCAATTTAATACCGTGTGGATACAGAGTAGGTTTAACAGCACCTGGAATGTTTATAATAGTTGTTGAAAATGAAAGGGAGTTTTGATAGATTGTAGGTTTGTAGTGTGAAGGCTACAGAACAACAACAAACGAAATAAATTAAAATTGAAGGAGGAAGTCATACTATGCAGCAGCTCACAATTCATCACGTACTTCCAGAAGATACAGTATGTGCAAACAGTTTACTTAACAAATACCAGATTCTGACTTGAATCTTATTAGTGTTAGTGTATTAGTGTATTATTAGTGTATGATGTCAATTTCCTAGAAATGGGTGGGTTTAATTTCACTAAAAAAAAGCTCAAGAACGATGATCCCAGGTGTCTCATCCTGCTGCAGAGAAATGTTTGCCATAAAAAAGTGGAAAATAGATACAATCTGTCAGTCTTACAATCTGAGAGATCTTCAGAGGGAAACTATCCTGAAAATGTATAAAGGTACAAAACACAAACAAAACTTTTCCCACAATGACAGAAGGATACAAAACAGGTTTTCAAGGGTGCCATTAGCAAAATGCCAGAAAAAAAATAATTCTCAGAACTGTCTATATCCTTTAGGAGACTTACATTATATACACACACTGTAATTCTATCTAGCTGCTGTCAGAAAACCAGAAGTACAATAATTAACAATAAATGTCAGTGGTGGACTATTAAGAATTCTAACATTTTGGTGAAAAATAGTGTACCTTGAATTAATGGAGCATTTTTACTAAAAGAAAGTTCAGGTTCCATTACAAACAATGCAGATTGAAAAATGTATTACAGTTAAGACTGGCTTGGACCAGGTGAGCTATGGGGTTAGCACCAATGCACACTACAGTTTAT